ACCTTCCAGTGTTTTAGCAAAATAATATTTCCTCAAAAAAGTTGACTGAGTTGGACAACAGGTCTAAACTGCTTGAAGAAGTGATTTATTTTTTCGAATGTATTTACCTGTGGTTATCAGCAGGAAACCGATGGACTGTCCACTCCGAGTAGGGAATGAGTCCTTAACCCAAGTGAAGGAGTTGAAGTATCTTCGGGTCTTGTTCTCGTGAGAGGTAACAATGGAGCGTGAGATGGGCTGGAGAGTCTGAGTGGTATTGCAGTCACTTTACCGCATTGTTGGGACAAAGAAAGAGCTGAAGCCAGAAGGCAAAGCTCTCAGTCTATCAGTCCATCTTTGTCCAACCTCACCTATGGTCATGAAGGATGGGTCATGACTCATGACCAAAAGGATAATCCTGGATACAAGTGGCCAAAATGGGTTTACTCCGGAGCTAGGCTGGCATCTCCCTTAGGTATAAGGTGAGAAGTTCAGTCATCTGGGAGGGGCTTGGAGTAGAACCGTTGCTCCTTGGCGTTAACAGGAGCCAGCTGAGGTGGTTCAGGGAGATGTTCGGCATGTCCATCCGGGAAGAGACAGAGGGGCATATCCAGGATTAGGTGGAGGGATTTTATCCCTACCCTGGCCTGGGAGCGCATTGGAATCCCCCAGTCAGAGCTGGTTGATGTGGCCGGGGAAAGGGACGTTTGGGGCTCTGTGCTGGAACTGCTACCTCCGCGACCCGACTCGGATAACTGGTAGAAGATGGATGGATGGACAAGAGGGCCCTTTTAAAAATGAACTCAAATTAGTTGTATTATTGCTGGCACGTGACTCTTTAATATTATATTTTTGTTATAAATTATAAGCGTATTAGTGCAGTTTATGGTAACTTTTATTTATTCTGAGAGTAGCTTTGCTGGAGTTCAACTTCTTACAGTTAGATGTAATGGAAGCTTGAAACGCAATGCTTTCCCCCAACACTCATGACTGCAGTCATTTTCAAAGTAGAAGACATACAGTAGGCCTACGTTGAACTGTCAAGGGATGTGTTAAGTTAATAAAACATCTGTTCACTGTTAAGTGTCAATTGACAGGTGATAACAGTTTAATCTTCATTTAGAGTGTTAATGAAACCATGGAACTGTGTGCTGCGCATCAACAGGAATCAGAAGAAAACCAAATGTCATCAACCAGGTTGTTGTTAGGCTTGTTTGAGACGCGTTGCGGCTCGCCTCGAAAGTAGACGAGAGTAGCCGATCGCAGCCGGGGGTGGTCTCAAAAAGCTCGCCTGAAGTCGGACAGCTCCGAGTCGGCTTCTTCTTCTTCGCCTTCTTCTTCGCCTTCTTCTTCTTCTTCTTCTCTCGGTTTTTTGGCGGATTGCAAACAACTTTAAGATGCATACCGCCACGTCCGGAGTCGGCTTGACTCGGTTTGCATTTATAAAGAATGCACACATGTGTTTAATTGTTAATGTCAGATATGTACTAAGTAAATACATTTGTTCCTGCTCAAGATTAGATTCAACTCTATTGTTATTGCACAGATTACAGGTACTGAGACAACGAAATGCAGTTTAGCTTCTAACCAGGAGTGCAACAAGCAGTAAAGTGAAAAGTAATGTACACAATCTACAGAATAAAAGATAGAATGAAGTGAATGATGAATAAACAGTGAGGGGTATGAATACACTAGATATACACAGCAGCCTGTGAGTAGTATGAACAGTGTGTATGAATATGCTAAGATATATAAAGTATAAAAACGGTAAGCAGTGCAAGTATAGTATAACATATATAGATATTAATTTCATGATGATAAAGATTGTGGAACAATGATGAAAAATGTGAATGGAAGTGGCAACGTAAAACTGACCACAACCAAACAACTTTTGCCGAGCCAATTGGAGAGTTTCATCAGCAGCACGGGGTAAAAACCACCAATGAGCGCTCAGCTCGAGATACCAGCGAGTCGTTTCCCATCAAGCATTTCGCCTCCGCAGCCCGTGGAGAGGAACTGCGCCGCCTCGCCGCGCCTCGCTCTCAAGGCTGCGGGCTTCTTTGTCCCGCGAGATTTCAACGTCTCATGTGAGCGAGCCTCCAGAGCAAGTCGGACAAAATGACTAACCATCATGCAACGCACGAGCAAGACGTTGATCGAAATTGCGCAGGTCTGCGCAGGTCTCGCTTATCTCAAACAAGCCTAATAACTTCTTAGACATATGCAAGGTAAACAAAAAAAAACGGAAAAAATTGAATATTTGATATGACCCCTTTGTTTATAATCCCTTTGTTTAGGAGGATGTTGTTGACATTAATTTAATTAAAATGTACAGATCAATCAGCAAAAGGAGCTTTTTTTCAAAAAAAGGTGTATTTACAGCAAGATAATAGTAAGTGGAGATCATGTTATGAAAGCTAATGAATATTAAAAAGAAGAAAAGGGAAGCACTTAATAAAAAAAAAATACAAATAATTTAGTTGGTTTTCTGAATGTGAATAAAGTGTGTATTTAAAGAATACACAAGACAGCTTCCAATAAACAAGGTTTAATTTTATTTAATATTTCAAAACCATTCCCTCTTACATAAAATCTGACATCACAACTTTAGCATCAAATATTAACCATAGACTATATATTAACATACAGCTGATGCAGACACAAAGTAAAATATATGTAACAATTTAAACATTTAAAAGTACAACAAATACATGGTAACTTGACATCTCCTTGCCCTGCACAATTCAATGTGATATACTCCAACATGAGTGCAACATGTCCCACAAACAAACATCCATCCATACATACATAACATAAAACACTGTTAATAAACCAAAGCACAAGTTTCCTGCACACTATGCATCTGCTTGGCTTCATTTTTCCACAATCTGTTTAAAGCACTGGTTGCCCCTTGTTTCTTTACAGCAGGAAAACAATGTCTTAAAATGGAAACTAGGTTTGCTTCATTGTAAAAAAGGATAACAAAGCATGAACTACATCAAACTTCCACAGTCAGAGAATGTACATGAGCAGTAATCAGGGAGATTTTAGGTTAAATACTTTAATTAAAGTGATACGATTTGATAAAAGTCAATTTGTTCTGTCAATGCAGTGTATGTACATCCTCCAAAAATACATTGTATTCCAGCTTTACAACTCGTGATGAACCTCTGCAGCAGGAGAAGGCACTTTCTCTTTTTAAGTCCTTGCATACAGAAATCCTAATTTGACTGGGAGGATTTGAATGAAAGAAAAAATAAAAATAGAAAACTCTGCAAAGCACTGCACTGCACTGCACTGTTTGGTGCAGCTTTCCAGTGCTTAGTTAAATTCTCACTCTCACAATGTTCATAAAAGTGACATCATTCATGAAGTGGGAACAAATAAAACAGTGGCAGTGGATCCCAGGCTGTGGCATCATGGGTTTGTAAAGAGATGCACTGCTGAGGAAAGTTTGAAAAGGGAGGTGGGAGCTTTTTATAGCAGCTCTATCTCCCACTGTTGGCTTGGCCTCTCATCATCCTCCGGCATAATCACCACATGGTCCTTGTCGTAAGTTTTGCCACCTGAGGAAATAAAATATAACTTAATAAAATGTAGCACCAATTCCAAATTCAAGATATAATCTCATGCTATAATGAATATAGATAAGGTAAAAATGTATTTTTTAATAGCAGACAGTGATGGAATGTAACACATTCACATGAGTACTTTTTAACAGTTACTTTGTACAGAAAAGACATTCTTCCTATGGATCTATCTATCTATCTCATAATAATTAAGGGACTCATAAATTACCCTTATATAATTTTGCATTCATTTTAGCATTATCAGAAAAAGTGTCATAAATTCATAAATGATTGTAAAATTAGCCAATGCCAATGTTTTTTTCTCTCTTTTTTTTCTCATACCTTTGACATCCAGGACGAAGCCAGGGAAAGTCAGGTTGGTGATGAGGCCTCTCATCTTGGCGGACCAGTTCTGGATGGGCTGCCGGGTCTCTGCCCACAGGACCACCTTGGCTCCCGGTTCTACATTGCCCACCACCTGCAGGCTCATGACGGGGGACAACTGCAGTACACACACACACACACACACACACACACACACACACGGTATAGGATTAGACCGGCTCAGGTAAGATGACAGGTTCAGGCTTTAGTTTGCCACTTGGATCAAACCTTATGAAATGTCACACATGTCCTGTATTGCTTACCTTGCTCTTGATGAAGCCGTCCTGATAGAACCAGACGTCGCTCATAGGCTCACACTCTGGTGTCACCACCACTCGTCCTGATTTCAGCTCCTCCACGCCGCCCTGGATCGACAGGAAGTGACCCTTCTCTTTGTTCTTGATGCGGAGAAAGTGGCGCTTCTGCAGGAGGCGAAATATCACAAAATATGTAATTAGAGTTAGAGATCAATGGAGGTTTGTCTGTGTTGACCCCACACAAATAAAATCACATTCATTAATACCAAAGGAATAACATAAGATTTTTGTCATATTTAGTTTGAATAGTTTACAGTTTGAGCAGATAATCACATTTAAATCCAGTTCTTCCTCTTTTGTTTTCATATATTATTCTTTCTTTTACTTCTGGTACAGGCTTTGTGTTTGGTTAAACAACCAATAATGTTATCTTAGGCATGTTCTGGTATTCATAGCAGTTAATGCTTATTAATTTGTTCTTTTTACGAAAGTTAGGAAACCCCTAACATTTAAATAAATGTTCTTTAACTTGTGTCAATACTAAAATATAACATCAGTCACAAGAAACTGTACTCTTCAAACATTTGGTTTACTAATGCCAATTTACACATTTAATACAAATATTTACCAATATTGAGGGTTAACAAACCTGTCTGATTGGGAACATTGAGCCAATAGTCTCTAGCGAGCTGAACTTCAACCAGTTGGTGATCTCAATTGGTTCCAGTAGGAATTGGCGCCCCCTGTAGTTACTGTATTGACATATCACCCAACTGCAAAGGAAGAGAGACAACATTAGAGAAGACTTTGCACTCAAAATGTTATTCAAAAAATAAAAGGAAACATTCTAAGTAGGCTCATATACAGCTCTGGAAAATATTAAGAGACCACTGAAGCAATTCTCATTTTCTCTGGTTTTACTATTTATAAATATGTATTACAATTATATATGTTTTTTATTATTCTATAAAATACTGACAACATTTCTCTGTGATGGTATTCAACCGACACTGGAATGGAATGGCTGCTATACATGTAGAGATTGAGATTTAAGAAACATTTTGGAGTGGTCTCTTCTTTCAAGAGCTGTATGTTAATGATATATAATTAAATAATAAACGTTTAATGCTAAAATGTATGTATCACTTTAATGTTGCAGCTGGTAGGATTTATACTAGATTATGAGTTTCATCAAAGGATCAATAAAGTGTATCTAAACTTATAATAATGTATGATTACATGAAAGTTATTTGTTGATTTATTTGTATTTAATACATTTTTCTGAAGTATATAGTAGCAAGAAGTATGTATAGTCTAGTACGTGATTAATTGTACTCAGTTTTCCAGCACTGCTAAACATTGTGTGAGACGCGTACCAGCCGCTGTTGACTCTGACAGACAGGATGTGGTTGTTGAAGCCCTCTTCCATCATGCTGTTGATCTCTGAGTCCATGGTGATCTCTCTGCCCTCCAGACACTCCAGGCCAAACAGAGAGATGGAGGGGACGGAGAATGTCTAGAGAGGGAGAGATGGAGGTTCAGAGCGAGACAAAGGACAGAATACAGAGCATTTTTATTCAAATGAGGGCTCTCTCACCATCGGGACGACCTTGGCAGAGCGGATGTAGGAGCTGGGCAGACATCCCATGCTGGTCAGATTGCGGTAGTCTCCTTCAGATAAGACGAACAAGTTCCCAGAGTACTTTTTATCCTCGTAGAGCACCCAGCTGAAACACAGACAAACGCATCGTTATGTTTGACCCTCCTCTATCTTACCCTCACGACTGCAACTCCATGTTGTTCACCCATGGACTTTCCCCCTCTTGATCTTTTTTCCTGTGATTATTGTAATGTTTTGGTAAAGGCTCCTCACCTTCCCCCGGACACTCTGCAGGACTTGGTCAGTACTTTTTCTGGGATTTCTTCCTGGTTGCAGTTAAAGATGTGACACTGGCCCTTGAAGTCTGCCTCAGAGTACAGTATCAGCTGTCAGGTAGAGATAGAAGTAAAGGAAAAAAATTAGATGAACACATTTATAACCTGAGGTGTTTTTTTCTTCTAATTATGTTTGCCTTTTTGGCACTGAATGCAACATACTACAAATAAAACCTTGCCCTGCCCCTGTAAAAGCATCTTCATTCTTATAGTGGTCTTTTAATAAAAGGTTCTTACAAAATATGAAAAAGCAAACGTTTGGGTGTCTCTGGCCAAGGAAACCTTGGGCTCCGAAGCAAATCAGTTTCAAGCATCGATACATGCCGACATGTATATAAAGGGACTTTCCCTTCATAAACATATGATCCAGCTTGTGGCCGAAAAATGGGGTTAAAAATGTGCACCATCCTAGCAAAAAATAAAAAGCAAACTAAAGTAAAAAGATGCAGGCTATATATATATATTTTTTAATCCCAATCTGTAGCCCTGTTGACATAAAAGACGTGTGTGCATCTGTTTAAAAACCCTACATACAATCATTTTCTTGTGTCCAAAAGTCAAGCTATGTTTTCTATAAACTAATTGGCAACTATCCTATCTAGGAGTAACATAACACTGGATATACAATTGCCTACAATATCAGATAAAATAATGATATGCATAAAACAAGATGAAACTGAGAAAATCAAGTCAGAATACCTCATTGCTGGTCCTTGTGCTGTCCGTTGGAGCCTTAAAAATAACACAGAAAAGGCATCAGCAACATCAGAAATGGATATTTAATTGATATTTTGAAGACGTTGTGATGGTCCTCACCATCAGGATGGGCTGCACGGAGCAGATGCGGTTGTCCTGAGAGCCCCAGTCAGCACAGTTGTTATAGAAACCTTTCTCTAAGATGTACTGGTTACCAGAGAAGTCCACATGAGAATAGGCTATCCATCTGTAAGGAGGAAACAATCACCTCATTAATGTCATACATTCCCACTTCACAGGAGGATTGTTTAATACATTGTAGAATCTTTCAACTTACGCCCCACTGAATACTTGGATGGAGCGTGTGGACGGTTTGTACTCCAACAGCTCAACGTCAGCAATGGCGTCCGTCACCTCAAAGGTGTTGTCCTCCGCCATTCCCTCCTGGTCTTCCTCTGGCTGCTCAAACATCACCATCATGGGTTCTGTTAGGTCCTGCGCAAGAAATAGAAAATGGGTACATTTTAATTAAGTCTCATGGGGATGAACACATATTTTGGCTGAAAATAACATTCTGTTTGAGTCACTTTTCAACTTGTATCAATGCTACAATGTGCAGTGAAAATTAGGAAAGAGCACTGACAAATTAAAACTATCCCTGCATGATTAACAACATTACAAAAACTGCACAAATGAATTGATATACAAGGTCGAGCATCCTTATTGAAAAATATTTGAGTATTTTATGTGGCAGATCATACCTGCTGGGAACCACACTCTATTCAAAATGTATTTGTGTTTTGTAAACTGCACCATATTAACATGATCCTGAGCTAATAAATCGGAATTTGAATCATAACGCTGATGTCCCGAGTTGCCTTTCATGCCATTCAACTTGTGGTGCAGGACTATAATGGCCATTTATCAGGGTTCAAAGCCACTTTTACATAAGAAAAGACCCAATTGATGTACAAAAATGATAAGATCGACAAAAGGAAACAAAACCACAAAGAACAATGTATACACATAATACAAAGTGAATAATGCAGGAAGAGATTAAGCACAGTTTGACTACAGGTATAGTTACTCAAATAAAATGCAAATGTGATGTAATGTGGATAATATAACCTATCATCGACTGCAGGTCTGACTTGACATTTACTGAAACTCAAATTCAGATCAAAGTTAATCCTTCCATTACAAAATAATGTCATCGTTGGTTAAATCAAGGTTACACAGTTCACCTTTTTTTGTAATTAGACAATTTCCTCTGCGGTTAGCCCCACCTTTTTAATTATTAACAAACAAATATTCCTCGTTACTTACTGCTCGTATCACCCTGACGGATCGCATCTCGGCGTCGTTGCCCCCCCACACCCTCCAGTCGTGGTAGTCCCCCTCCTCCAGCAGGTACTGGCGCCCTCGGTAGCCCTCCTTCTCGTAGCCCACCCAGCTGCAGAAACACACACATTATTTAAATCTTTTTCATAGTGGCTCTAAGCCCACCTGAATTGTGGGACTTAATTATTAATCATCACTAAGAAGTCTTTTCAAGGTTCAGTGGATACAAACAGAAAAGGCAGCACTCACATTCCTCCTTGGACTTTAAGAGAGCCCACGTTGTGCATAAAGGCCGTCTGCTGCCGGTCTTCTCTGGTCATGAAGTTCCTCATGTCCATGTGAATGGTCCTCGATTTCCCAGAGAAGTATGGCTTTTCAAATACCTCCATCTAGGAACCAAGGGTGTCATTTACAATTTGAACAATGATAGTTTCTAAAGTGTCAGAGATCATACTGTGTCTGATACGCAGTACAGTATATGACAAGTGGTAGGAGAAGTACTCTAATCATACATATTCTACAGTGTAGAAATACTGTTAAAAGTGATAGTCCTGAATTCAGTTAGCTACTCAAGTTAAAAGTATATATATTTTACCAAATAACCCATAATAATAAAACATTATTGGACTATAATCAAACATTTGATAGATAAATGCAATGTTGGAGATTGTAAAGGTGGTCCTAGTTTTTTTTCTTTTTTTATATACAGCCAATCAGCTTTATCTATAACAATAACATATCCTGTATTGTTTGTTGAAAAAAGGTGTAGAATAACTGTGTAAACAAACCACGTAGTGGAATAAAAGGTACAATATTTGCATATGAGCTGTAGTACACAGTAACATTAAAGTAAACAATTCCGAGTACAATAAGCTTGAAATTTTACTTAAATAAAAAGTACGTTTACTTAGTTACTTTACACCAATGCATATCACAGCTTAAGTATTAAGCATCCATTTTTGGCATACTTTCTTACCTTTGGTTCACTTATATTTTCCACTTTAGGTTCACCCTGTGATGAAAAATAAATACATTTCACTTAATAAAACAAGCAGTGGATATACTTTCATTCATAAGTATACAGACTCAGTAAAGAACATGGCTTGTAAAATATTTTAAGCTGTGCCACTTACGACTTTGAGTGGATGCAGTGATCCCACATAGGGCTGTTCCACTCCCCATGCCGCGGGATTGGGGAACCCCCCCACCTCCAGGACACGTGGTATGCCTTGGAAGAAGGGATGTGCGTACACCAGCCATCTGAGCAGGAGAAAATATAGAAAACAAGATTAAATTAACCATAATGGTAAATTATACACTATTATTATTATTTATTTATTTTTATTTAGCCTTTATTTATACAGGTGTAGATCTCATTGAGACACAAGGACTCATTTTCAAGAGAGACCTGTTCAGTGGTAACACTACCACACAAAGTTACAGACAGACATATATGAACAACGTTCTTATGTAGTTTCACTAGACAAAACATTTTTTCACAATTTATCATTCAGAACTCACAGCCCAGCATTAATGATGATAGAGTTGGCCTTGATGGGGTAACCAAAAATCCTGGCATCTTCAGACGTGTCTCTGAAGGTGACCTTCTTCCCTTCTGCGTTCTCCTCTGGGAAAAGACCGATTTCTGGGACGCTGTAATCCTGAGGGAGGACAGAAAACATATCCAAGTTGTTTAGGTTCTCTGATGCTGTTTTAAATGTATTTTAAAGCCCAACCAGGACCCGTTATTTATGATTGATACACATACAATCAACACATAACATAAATAACATATTTGAAAAGGATGTGTTTGCTTTTTACAGAAACATGACCAAGATATGGACTGAGCTGGACATTTTACAAATAAAAAAATACATTTGTCATTACTCTCTGGTCGACAAATGGTGGACTATATGATGATGTTTAACAACCTTGAAGATAGCTCCAAAACTAAAAAGCTAATAATGTATAGCTTTATGGTTTTGTAATTCTTGTAGCTTATGTTGTTGCTTTGGTTCACATTGAAAAGTCTGGGACTATACAAAGTGTGAAGTATGCGGTGGCTGAGCTGCTGCACTAGTAAACTAGTTAAGATGGAAACATACAGGGGAAAAAAAGATGTTAACAATTTGAGAAATAAATAAAACATTAACTTGAGTATATTCAATAGGTTTCTCCTTAAAATAATTGAAATATCAAATGCACCAAACAACAACAGGTGGTTGCTCGTACATTTGACACTAGATGGTGCTACAGAGTTAAACCCCGTCATAACTGATTAGCTACTGTACTAAACAGCCTTTTTAGCATCAGATAACAATGTTAAAGAGATAAGATCAGAACAGAAAGGATATCCGATGAACTTTATCCTATTTCTGACGACGGCAAAAACAACAGAGTGAAGTGAACTCACCCTGACCGCTCTTCGAATGGACCCGATGATGAACTTCCTCTCAGCCTTAGTCTCAGTTTTCTCTTCACTTGATTCTCCGTTCTGGTCTCCACCCTCTATCTGCCCGTTCTGCAGTTCCTCCTCTGGGGGGTTGAAGGGGTTGGTGAGCTCTAGGTCTCCCTCGTCCAGAGCGATCTTCTCCCCTTTGAAGTTAGGCTTCTCATACAGCACCCATCTAAGAGGGGGAAAGGGCTGGGGTTATAACCTCCACTGTAATATCAGCAGTTATCCTGGGTGTGTTGGTATGCCATGCTGTTGATGTGTTCTATTATTTTGTTCTTCAACAGTGCTCAGACATGGGCACAAAAGTGTCTCAGTTTTTCTCTAAGTGATGTTGCTGATTATCTTCTCAAACAATGCAACTTGACTTGAAAAATCTACATTGTAATGAATGTCCTAACATTTGTTATAATGTCTGAACATTACATAATGCTAAGTTGTTAAGTTGCTGCCCATCATTTTGAGCCATGGATGTATACCTACTTATGTAATCTTTATTTTAATTAGTAACAGTTTCGTTAAAATGCAAACACTGTACATTTCCCCGCTGTGGGAGTAATAAAGGATTTCTGATTCTGATAATATATTAGTTTTTAATGCGAAACTGTATTAGAATAAACACTTCCTTCTCCTTGATATTTTTTAATTAGAGAATTAGTTGTGGTTTGGTCGGTAATGCAGGGTGTGATGCTTCAGATGAAAGCTTAATTATTTCTTTGAAGCAGGTGTTAGCCTGGTGGTACAGGTTGGATCAGTGCTGCTCCAACTGAACACTGTGGCTAGGTTTAATAAAACATTCCACATCTGAGGCAAGTGTGTGTTTAAGCATGTGCGTGGGAGTTTGAACAATTTAAGGCATTCGCATGACCACAGAGCATCAATAGCTGGTTTGTTTTGAAGTGACACCACATGAGTGTATCCGGAGAGAGTTCGGTGTTTTATTACACAACTATAATTTTGAGTGAAACCAGGACTGGAGGTGTAATCCTATCTATTCGTGCAATTTTGAAGATCTAAGGAGGTTTCGGGTTTATTGTTTGTTTTCTGCAACTATTTGCGAAAGTTACACTCTAGCTTCACCGGATGGTTAAAAAACAAAAAATTATTGCCGTCAATGTACGCCATTGTCCCACAATGCAATGCACAAGTAAATGAAGGAGACTGCGACAAATAAACTCTGATGGGGAAACATTTAACCCAAAATAAGACCTAACAGAATCACAATCTTTGGCAATTCCTGTGTCATTTCTTGCATGTACACATTTGTAGAAGTGCAGTATTTTGGGATACTAATTACTTACAGCACCAGCAGTGTACAGAAGCTACATTTTGAATGATGTTTTTTGTACAGTAGTAATGGATTGAATATCGTTTTACGGGAAACATTTACAAATGTACATGAACTTCTGCAATGTGTGTGCCGTTCAGCCACTCACCCTCCTCTGACGACCCTGATGGAGATGGTCTCTTGCAGGTCCCATGGCGTAGCATCGATGACATCACTGCGCACCTCGAGCCTCTGGCCGCACATTCCAGGTCGGTCAAAGATATACAACTAGAGCAAAGGTGAAGAGATTTAGAAAAAGATTATAGATCAGATTTACTACATGGTGTTACTTGCGTCCCCAGGGCAGGCGTTTGCAAATACAGGTGTGATGTCTGTGACTGTGGCTGAGGGCAATTCCCTGCTCACTATGCACCTCAGCATCCTCAGAAAGATGTATTACAAAGATGTAGTCACATGTAATGCTTTGCAAAGGGAGTCATTTTGGTAAGAATGTCGAAATGGCAAACCAGATTAAATCACAGGAATGATAAAGAGTTACTGCAAGCAAGAGTTTAACCTGTTTGGCTGAAAAATCCTTTATGTGCAAATGTCAAGAAGGGAGTCAATATCATCTGGTGGCATCATCTCAAGTTTCCTGTCAAAGCATGAATCTTAAATGTCATGCTTATCCCCTTAAGACAGGGGTGTCAAACTCAAGGCCCGGGGGCCAAATCCGGCCCGCGACATCATTTTATGTGGCCCCACAAGAGCTTGCAAAGCATATCATGTTTGTTATACGGTTAAATGGCGATTTACAGAAACACATTGCCCATACATGGAGCACAATGCATCTTAAATTTGACTTTTTTCTCAGATTTGACTTTTTTTTCAAAATGTCACTTTTTTGGGGGGATTTGGCTTTTCTTTTTAAATTATTTTATGACATTCTCGAAGAGACTTGCAATTATTTGCCCTAGACTTCTGCTTTCAGACCTAGTTCATTATTAAGTTATTACCCTATCCTATAATAATCCAATGCAGAGGCAATGATGTCATATAATACATTATGTTATATATATTAAATATTGATATATGTATTTTTATATATTCTTAAAGTTACAACCGGCCCTTTGAGTGCAACCATAATGCGAATGTGGCCCGTGATGAAATTGAGTTTGACACCCCTGCCTTAAGACATCAGACACAACACTGTAGAATGTAGGGGTATGGGAGTTGTAGAGTTGTCCTAATTATTTATTATTTGCATTTTCTCAGTGAAAAAGCAGTGAGAGTGAGGAAAAAAAGAAAGGAAAGTTATTCTAAGATGGATCAATGCTAAAACCAGTCTAGTTAAGAACAGAATAGCTTTAAGAGGCTCTTTGTTTCTTGAGCTTGACTTTGTTGACTGTTGCTTTCTAAATAACCTTTCCCCTTTCTACAGTACAGACATGTTGGGTCCATTCAGGTCTAAGGCCCAGGGGCATGGAAGAGTACCTAGAAGCTGATCCTAAATGTCAGCTCCACCTCTGGTTCTCAGGATTGCTCGTATACAAGGTGTGCTGCATGCAGCAGCAAGCCTGACCTTTAAAAGTTAATAATCATGTGTCTTGGCATAGGGAAATGTGTGCATTTTAACGGCATAAATCATAACTACCAGGTAGATGTTGCCTGGGATATTTTTGGATGATCTGGTTAAGAACAAACGTGCAAATGTGTTGCAGCACAATGCCACACCACATTAACATCTCACACCTACCTATTGAAACCTCTATAACATACAGCTGTCTCTGCAGTTTGTTTATATCAAGATAACTTTGCTATACACTGGTGCAGTTTAAACAATGGTGAAGTATATTCACCTCTAATAGCCAATTTTGTCACATTTGTCCAACTCATTTTCAGTTTTTTCTAATAATTAAATGTTGATGCAGAAACATTCTATTTAATTATATCTTTAATGGGTCATTGGTATAAGTTGAAAGAACATTGAGCTACACTAAATGCTTCTACCACATTCTAACCTGGTCTCAAAAGACACTGATATCATGCCTATGCAGGTATAATCTTTAAAGGGGCCCTATTATGCTAATTTTCAGGTTGATATCCAAGGAGTCCAATGGAGGGGTTTCAGGCAGGGGGGGGGGGGGGGGGACTGTGTGGGAGAGAAACTCCTTCTGGAATGAACTTTGGGATTTTTGCTTTTGTAGACCATTCTATCGATTTGAACACACATTCACACATGTATCTCACTAGTATTTAGATGAATGTATTGAACTATGTCGTGTGGAGACTCACCTTTCCAGGACGAGGATTGAGCTTCCCATGCTCCTTCTCTTTTGTGAGCTACAAAAGAAAAACACATTTATTTTAGAAAGCTTTCTTATATATGTAGTATTAAGCAGAGCATTGTCTTTTGTTTTACACACAGTCAAGCTAAAAGCCAAGAGTAAGTACAGTACTGTATACAAATAAGAGGACTTCTATCAATAATACAAACGACTGTATGAATGTAAAAAACAAAGACTGAGCTTCAAAAGCATGAGCACTATTACACATTTTTAGGTTAGACCCCATGTCCGCATACATTTTATGTAGACTGCACCCAGTTTCTGCCTTGTGGATTTACACATGCCAGACAATCTGTTTATGTTCAACAGGTTCTGTTGGCGCCGGGGGGGGGGGTAGAATGAGGACAGAGGACCACTCCATGACAAAATAAGCACCTCTATGACAGGTGTGAATACTTTACATTCCTCCCATGTACAGTATCTATAAACCAGACATTCTAGTACTACTCCCATTGATAACAGGAGATCCGTTCTGAAATGACATGAGGACTGATTGAGTGTGTCCGTGTGTGCGTGCGTGCGTGTTCTTTAGGGCCTTCGAATCTCAGCTGGTATGCTGCTTGAATTTCTAGGTTGTTTGATTGTGCAACTTGGATTGTGGTTGCAGATGAGTGCCATGCAATTATCAAATCGATTTTTCAAAGGGAGCAGTGTTTGGTCTCATGTATCACTCCACTCTCTGGAAGCCCAGTAGGAAACAGGGTATGATCTGGATCAGGTTACAGACCAAAGTGGACCTCCTACAGAAGCTCTCATTTCAACAGGCCGCATTACTGTCCCACCTAGCCCTCATGTACTTTAGAAACTTTTTTAATTTAATGCATTCTTAGGAAAAATAACCAAACCCAACCAAATGTAGTTAGAATGTAAATAACAATGGATTTACTTTCTATATTTTTTACATGTTCAGTTAAAGCAAGGTGAGGGGTTCAATGGTGCTTTTTCAGTATTGACCTTGTGAATAAGAGTCATTCACTGTTCACAAATGTACTATATAACAACAGAAGTTTCCATCTATAAAGCCTATTATAAAATCTACTCCCTTTTATCTGTCAATTCCCTGCATTTTGAGTCAAGAAGAATAAATGCAGATGATGATCTCTTATTTCTCACAAAATACATTAGCTCCACTTGTATCATGCTTTACATGAAACCAGGAATAAGTGTTAAACCAAAGCTTATTAAAGGCAGAGCTTCAAGATACCTTTTTCAACCATACAAACATTTTCCCGAAGGGTATTAAGAGAATCTTTTTTTTTCCATTTCTTAGTTTTTCTCAAGTTCAATGTATTAATTTGTCTCGCAGCCGGACATTGCATAATGTGACTGTATGTTCATGTTATCTTTACAGTTGAGTGACAAACACTGAGACAATGGAGGAGTAGTTGTCGTATCATCTCGCCTGGCTGCGACACTTGAATCGGTCTCACAGGGTTTCTTTACAGATTATTTGAGGGACAGTCATGCTTCTTAGAAGGATTATTACTCAATTTATCTGACAACCATCGGCAAAGGCCAGTGTGACTAAAAGTCTAAGGGTGGAATGTTTTATGTTGGCCTGAAAAATGAGGCGTTGGAATTGTATTTGTGATGTCTATACAATTAAGTCCAGGCCTTCATTGGTTGTCTATTGGTTGCATTTTGGACAACACATAATCGGGCTAGTCTCCACATGGAGAACCAGTTAAATACATTATTCTGTTCTTTGCATTTTTTATTTGTTAAAACAGTAATATTCTAACCTAATGATGTCATTTAATCACATTACATTTATCTTAATTAAACTCTCACTTGCTTCTTGAGGCACACGTATACATTACAGCAATAAAAGAATAGCAAATCACTCACATTCCAATCATTAATACTTCCTTTAAAAGAAGTTCCAATGAAGTCCTGTCTACGCTTTACTCACTGCTGTGTGGTTTTTGCACATGTACTTCCTTCTGTACTAACTGCATGTCTTCACTATGCATCTAAAGAAAACCCAGCATTATTCATTAGGAGTTCATTGTTTACTGCTGCTTTAATGCCTAATACAAATCTATACTCCAACACATATTTCCCCCTCTCGATCCTTTCACTCCCTGCTGCCTGAAACACGATCTACTCTCCCATAAAATTAATAACCACATTGTGGAATGTGCCGTTTCAGCAAAGGACATAATAAAAGAAGACACAAAAAGATGTGCGATGAAACTAACGATCAGAGTAAATGAACACTAATAAGAGGAAACAAATCATCTCTTTGTCATCTTTTCTCACCCTGCCTACTTCATATTCCTCCCTGTCAACTTCACTCAATCAAATATCAACGAATCAAGAAGAGAGGTATGCGAATGAAAACAAAAGACGAGGTGTGGCTGTGTCTCTGCAGGATCCGACAGATAACTGGAATGAGTGGATAGCCCAGTAGAGAAAAAAAACAGAGAGAAGCAGAACATTTTCTGCAGGGATGAAATGATTTAGAGGCCTCACGTGCACCAGCTGATGGTTTACATGCATTGAAGAGTTTACAGCATGTGCTTGACAAAACGAGATACACACTCATCATGCAGCCTGTTAAAAAGTCTAATAAAAGGGACGAGTGCCAAATTCCCTTTCCCCAGGGGTTAGTTCAATAGCATAGTTGTTTCCATTTCTTCTTACTTTTTATTGACGTGGCCCAAGCAGGATGCAGCTGTAAAATATATCCCTGTTCCCACCCACTGCATAACAGGAAACCAACACACTACTTTAACTGATACAAGCCAGTTCATTGTCTGAATACCTTGTGTACATAACTTTAGTTTACACAGCGTTATGCATTTTATATAGAACTGAATTCTATAAATCTACATTATAACTACCAGTAAAGCTAATGGGCCTTTTAGTTTTACAAAAAGTGGCCTGATATCCAGATCAAACAAACAAGTGATAGGTGACTACCTGTAATTAGCTGCTTCTGTGGTAGTAATCATAAACAGGAAGTGTGGTGACATTGCATCCTGCCTTCTGTCTGCCTTCTCTCCATACTGTTTCAAAGCGCTGTTATAAATTCTCGACTAAGAGAAGAGAGTTTAAAACTCTTAAAATGTGTGAAATGTTTGTTGTGCTGCAGAAATATTTCCCTGTACGTTTTTTAAAGGGCCCCTCTCTAAAGCATCAGTCTCAGCGGCTCAGTCAGTCATATGAGCTGTGGTCAGAGTGCATACTTTAGCCGGGGAAAAGGAGCTGCTGCAGCCATATAACTGATGCAGCTGAGGCCATCTATGTATTGCATGAACATGAACAAACATCCTGTGCAAACACTTGTGTTCAAACAGCACAGGACAGCTGTAGAGCAAACAGTACTTACATCTCTAGTATCCAGCTGATACTCTTTTGTTATTGCACGGACACAAATAACACTACGCACATGTGGTATGCATGGGAGTAAATTAACAAATAATAGCTACCCGTAGGGAACAGCATAATTAAAAAGTACAATGCTAGGAAATGTTTTTAGTGCTCGTCACTGTTGGCATAGTACATTTATGGTTAAAATATTGGTTAATAGTAGGGTGTGAGTTCAACCGTTTTTCTGTGCAGAGGTGAGAACAATAGAAATTTCCAGTGAGCCACAAACTTTGCCAAAAACAGAAAGACAGGTAGAAACACAAGTAGAGAGCGTGTGTGTGCACACTTGTGAAATTATGTTCTTTCTCATTTAAAGACTTGTCCTAATCAGTTAAGCACTTCACCTGAATGCGTGCATCGGAGAACGAGTGCATACATGCATGAACACAAGACCGCATACACACCCTTTTTTCAGATTCTGCGTGGGGAGTGCATGTACCTGACAGGTGGGGCTTAACGGTTTGGGTCTAATACACTTTTATTTTTTTGCTAGGCATGTTTGCTTAAGGAGCACCACTGATGCTCTGGGTTACACCGAAACCAGACACTTCCAATTGCTCATACACGTATTTGATTTAAATGTCTCTATTAATGGTTCATGATGCAGTATCTGAAGCAACATAAATAGAGTTTTTTCCTGTGTGCGCAACAATCTACATTTGAAGTCATCTCTCTCACCTAACCTGACCTGCTGCCTGTCTTTTTCACAACCTGGAGTTAAAACAGATCTGGGAAGTAGGAGCCAACATAATAAAAGAGTAAACACAGGTATAATACAAAAGGAAGATATATGTGTAGAGGATCTTCTTTGTAATGCTGTTACTGTATAGCTACAATTTTAAGCCGCACACACTGTATTTGCATACAGTGCATGCATTATGAAGAATGATGCCACAAGAAGATAAGTGCTTCTTCTACAGCATTCTTAAACTAAACTTTGCCTGGGGTTGTATAAAAATGTGCGTCTCATGTGATGTGGGCCTGCTCCAACAGACATTACCTCTACAAGCTATTCACCAAAACGTAGACTAGCAATATTCATTATAGAATTGCAAATCCCCATTTTTCTGCAGCAACATCATGCTTGTGAAAATGTAAAATGTATAGGCCTCCGTGGTGATATACAGAGAGCTGCAGGAGTGAGTCCTTAAACCCAGAAATGAGTTAGCTATAAGCACTTTGTTACTTCATATCGAAGTCAATGTTTTTAAAAAAAAATTGGTTGGATGTCTGAAATAAGGTCTGACTTCTTATTGAACTGGAATAAATTGTTCAGGGGATTGCTAATATACTTCAAAATGTTTACAATTGGTGTTAACTTATGACGATGATCCTTCTGAAAGAACATTTATTCCTCACGAGCTAATTCTCTGCAAAAATCCAATAAAAAAGAATTCCCCTTGGGCGTTTGTTGAGGGAAATTTGATGCTAACTTCTGCTTATTTGGCCTATAAGTTATCCCTGCACCACATGTGTCTTCTAAGCAAAAACACTAAGTGACACTTTATAACTTTTTTAGGAATACTCACATAGGCATCAGGGAAGGCCCTGTATTTGGAAGCTAAAATCTTCTCAGGCTCCATTTCTTGCCTTGCCTGGTAGCCCCCCATGCCGCCATCACTAATGAAGCTCCTCTGCAGGATAGGATTGCCCAGTGCTCCAGTACCTGCACCAATCCCCTGTGTCTGGCCGAACATGAATAAGGGGGAGTTTGGGGTGTTGTAAGGCCTCTGGAGGTCTATGGAGCTGGTGGGGCTGAGGAGGCGGGTGGGACTGTTGCTGGAGGTGGGTGAGCCGATGCCCAGCAGGGGGGGCCGACTCATACGACCGTTGGGGTCTTCAGCCCCGGACAAGGAGCTCGACGAGGAGTTCAAAAGGAAGGAGAGGCGCTCGAAGCGAGACCCCCCTGCTTCTGTTCCCGGTTCACCGAGCTTCTTGTGTCCCATACTGATGCGGTCGTTTGAAAGCCCCGTATCAGGAAGCGAGCCGGTGCGGAAGAGCGGGTGATGGGTCTTTCCGTTTTCCATGGTCTGATCTATGGATGATAACCTGTGGTTTTTAAAGATGAGACTGTTGTCTAGGCGGGAGCCAATGCCGGAAGGTGAGAGCAATCCATTTCCATTCAGCACAGGGGATTTTAATTCCTCAGGCGAAGAGTCAAAGGATGTTCTCATTACTAGACTGTTGGTTGCAGACGCTCTCAGGGGCAAGTTCAGCATCTTGGATCCAGGCGGCTGCTGCTCCTACAGGGGAGTAAAGAAAGGTAAAAGCTTGATTAGACCAAGTTACAAAACACAACAAAAACAGGACATTCGGTCTTCTGTTACTTCAGATAAACCACAGATGGATAATTGAAAAATGTAGTTTTTTTTTTTTTTAACCAGTCAAAGAGTTAAAAACAGCTATTAAACCATTTCCAACAGCTTAATATATTTATATAAATAGTACTGTTATGTCATGAGCCTAGATGTAGATTGTCATGCTCAATGCAATAATGTACATGAACTGTTGTTGTGAAAAACTGAAAACAGTCTAACCCTGATTTAAATTGCATTTTAGAAGTATGAGATTACGTTTGTTGACTAAGTAACAACAATTAACAGAATTGAAAATGTCTGAATGTACTCTACCTGCTGGTTCTGCTTGAGTAGTTCCAGTGGTGAGCGAGTGTCTCTGGGGATGTTCCTCTTCAGTCCCAGTTCAGCAGGCAGAGTGTAATTTACTTTGATTGACTCAGCAGGGTTTCCCATTGCCTCCATCTTTTTAGTGGGGCTCCTGAGGAAGTCAGGCATGTCGAAGGTGATGGGGCTGGGAGTATCCTCATTGATCGGTGGCAGGGAGGAGAGGAGGACCGGAGGAGGCCCACGAAGTCCTGTGTTCCTGGGTCTGAAGGAAGGTCCCATGTTCCTCAGGGTATCCACTAGGCTATCCATGTCCAACTGGTACGGGGAGTCTGCGTCGGGGGAGGCAGGGGGAGTGGAGGGGCGAGCTGCAGGCTCAGAAACCAACTCCACCAGCGTGGCCTTGAACACTCCAGTAAAACGTAATGAGTCGTCGTCTTTGTCTTGGAAACTGTCGAAAGTGTCCTGGATGGATTGTTGTGTCGAGGTGAAGCTAGACGAAGGCAGCTGCTGTGAGTCCCGGCCTGACTTTATCCTCTCTGACTCTGCCTCTCTCTCCATGGCAGGTGCAGCAGGCTCCTCCTCCTCCACTAAACTCCGCCTCCACTCATCCTTTGGTGCCTCTGCTGGCTCGCTCTCATAGCTCTGATAAATCCTGCTCCTGTCAGTCATTCTGCTGCCATAGCGATCCTCTGAAGAGAGGGAGGGGTCACTCAGGTGTTTGTATGCTGAAGCCTCTGGGAGATCAGAGGAGGAGTAGGTACTGGAGTAGGAGTTTGACATTCTGTAACCCGGAGAGTCAGAATAGGAGGAAGACTCTTTTGTGTACGGTGTGTACTGAGAAACCCCGTCAAATTGGTTCTTCCATCTGTACTCTGAGTCTGTATCTGTAGCCGTGTCCTGGCTATCCTCAGTGGTATTGGTTTCAGTGATCAGAGACACTTTACGGTATTTAAATTTGGTATGATCCTCTTCAGGGAGAGATGAATTCTTTAGGGACAGTTTGGTGCTCAGGCTGCTGTAGCCTGAGCTCATTTCGCCCACAGATTCCGTTTCGGCTTTAGGCAGCTGATTCTTTAAAACAAAGACTTCTGAAGCTACTGTCAGGGATCTGGGTAGACACAGAAAAAAGGGCAAAGATGAGAAACACAGAATAAACAGCGCCAGAGTTTGATAGACCACAGTGTATCAAACACTGCAGTGCCTAAGGGCGTGGTGGTTATGAAATGCCAACAATGCAAATTATACAAAGCAACTTTTATTTTGTCAGGCAATGTCAAATAAAGTTTACAAAGGCCTCATCAATGCAAAAACTGGTGCACTAGATTCCAATCTCAATGTCCTGTCAAGTTGTTGAAGAGTCTGAATTTCTTGTACAAACTGTTTCTAAAATGCAGTTAGTTATGTGACATAATAACTAACAATTAGTTCATGATGGGAGGATCGTATGCACATAAGCAAAAAACTGTCAGCTATAATTCAGGGTTACTCAAAGTCAACACTACATTTATAGTATATGAACTGTGATAAGCAAACTCTTTAGCAATGTCAATATGCTGTATATTTACAGGTATGTGTGCCTTGGCATAAAGTCAACAACCCCAAGACAATTTTGTTAATGATAGGTACCGTAGACTTGTTTCCAAGCACATAAGTATCGTAAAATGTCTGATTTACTGATGATCAAACTTTTTTTTTTTTTTTTTTTACATGTGCAAACCTTTCTAACCGGAATAAAAAGGGAAGTTGGGATTTGTTCATGGAATTGTAGACATGAAAGCCCTCAAAATCTGACAGTGTAAGTTATGCAAAATGTGGTTTCTATTGATATGTTGAGTCTTGCAAGTGCATACACGCTTCACATACTTGACAAGAGAACAATAAATATTTAATGACAATTGTGTGGGACTTAAATATGCGTTTAATTAAACGGCAAAAAGCTTTCACAAGTCAAGAGTCAATCCGAGTCAAGCCCAGTGAATCATTTGACCTTATATTATAATAATAATGTTGTGCTGTTCTCACAGACTGTGGTGACTATCAGGTAAAGGTGAACAGGGTTGCCACATGACACACAAAAATACACATTGTGACTCACTGTCATCATGCACAGGGCGGATTTTACAAAGGTCACGAGGATACAAAAAAAAGGATACAATTATACAGGTATTTTGTTGTTGTATTGCCACATTTGAGGCAGGCATTTTAGCACTGTAACAGAAAAGAGACAGAGGTAACATTTCATAAAACAATTTAAGAAATACATGAAAAATGTGCAGGAATGTCCACAACTTTTGAGGACATGTATCATCCTAGCATCATTGGGTGCATGTGTGCAACACATTTGGGTTTCAGTGGCCCTGAACAGATTTGTTTCCAAACACAGAGAAAGAATCTCAATTTGTTGGTTCTGCAGATCCAATGGTCGAAAGAAAAGAAGCTAGTCTTTATTAATTAACTCTCATCCTTCACACTGGCATTTATCTTAATATATTCTCGTCACATTTTTCATTACTTTTTCAATCACCCACACAGAATTCTTTTTCAGAAGTGCAATGGAGTAAACTGATTCAAATCCAACAAAAATAAAGAAGGTTTAAATGTGAAATAAAAAAAAGAGAGCCAAAAATAGGATATGGAATAATGGTGTCTTCCCCAAGCCCCTTGATCCCCCAGGTGGATACATTCTGCTCCTGGGACACGTGGAGTACATTTCTGCTGTAACCACAGAACCACACCTATCCCAGAGGGCTCCTGCACATGCTGGCACTGATACAACATGTCCTCATAGACTGTACTTCTTTCATGCTAATAACTGTCGTACCTTACTAAATGGTGCAAGGAGACAGATCCACAAGAACATTAGTATATTAAGTTGGATGTTCAGGACCATTATATAAGCCTAAACACTGACAGACACACTCAGAAATGGAATTCCATGTGCTGTAACAAGTATCAACCTCAACAGGGACTCTGAGTTAAGAGAGCGTTGCACATGAAAGGAAAGCATACTATGCAATTATGTTTGAGCATGGTATCATTTGAGTTCTCTTTCATGCTCGTCTATGCAAAACCGAGGATCAAAGAGTTACATCTGCCTTCAGTTAATTTCTCAGTAAATATTAAACTCCTCTTAACAGTGAATACTCCTCTTTCTGTACTGATTAACGTTCTAAAAATACTTCTCTATTATCTCTATGAGGGTAGTCACTGTACGAAGTTTAGTCAAACTTTCAAAACAATGGTGAACAAGAGACTATCTTGTGATGGGATCACTCAAGCTGCAATGACCTTGGTTGGCCGGGGTTGCAATAACCATTACCCAACTAGCTAAAAAATAATACCAGCATCGCTGTCAAGACTGCTGAAAACATGTGCATACCAAAAAAGTGCAATAAGATGCTTAGGATATTTTTATATTATGAAAAGCACATTGACACATTGCTGCGAAGCAAATATTATGTGTCTTTACTAGACACAGTACATCTCGGGTGGAGTCTTTAATAATATTGATTTTGAATGGTTGCCAGTTAAAGTTACGTGCCAAGATGAAATCAAGCATGCAGAACACGTGAAGGCGATGGAAACAAACTCTTTAGATCTGGTTGAGTCTGCATGTCTAAAAATATGATTTCTCTCTATAAATCTATGAGTGGGAAAAGAGCACATTTCTTGCTCCCTCTCTCTTTACACATGTTCAGGGGATTAGATAATGGTCCACTGAGTAAACAGAAGCATGACTGGTGACTGTTTTCCAACATCTGTCTGGCTGTCAGTCAACAGGCAAGTCCAGCAGCTTTACTAAGCTCAAGGCAGAGGGGTTAAGTGTAAGACAGGGGTGTCCAAACCTTTTTCACCGAGGGCCACATACAGAGAAATATACGAAGGGCTGGGCCACTCACCAGAGGTATATCGCCTCATAAGTTCAGTTATAAGTTAGCAAAATCAATCAAATGTAGGTAAATGATGTTTGTGAGTGTTGGCAGCTCATCCCTTAAAGCAGAAGCCTCAGATTGATTATAATAAGGAAAATAGGACGGGTGTATTTCAAGCTTGTTATGTAAATAAGTTATTGGGCTTTTTTCTTATCAACTCAGATATGTTAGAACATGTTTCCAACTTTAATTGACTGAATTTATTTGAAAAGTGGTTTTATGAACACATGAATACTACTGTGTAATATATTTTTAAATGTATAGTTAAGAAGTACAATATAAGAAAAGCACAAGTTTCATTTGTGGGCCGTATGTCATTATACTTTTTGAATTTGCTGAGGGCCGATTCAAAATGGTCGGCGGGCCGCATTTGGCCCCCGGGCCGTAGTTTGGACACCCCTGGTGTAAGACATCATCAATGAACATTGTCTTCATACCATGAATCCTAAGAATAGGATGTCGCGTCCAGACCTTATGCAGTCACATGAGGTTAAGATTTAAAAGGGAAGTGCACAGAACCTGCCTGAAGTGATGTCACATGACTGAGCGTCTGTATAGATGAAGACTATATATTGAAAAAAAAAAAAGATCTGGAGATATGGAGACTTGTATTGCTCCTCCATTCTTTCCTCTGCCTGCTGCTTGAGGCTACATTATAATTTGAGTTGCATTGTGGGTTATGTATGCGCCAGGTTACTTGAAGGAAGAAGAATATGGTATACAAAAAAACATCATCTCTGGTTCTTCTGCATGGATTTTGTTGTTGTCAAAACTTTCTAAATCAGTGGAGTGCTCTTTAATAAAACAACAAAGAGAGTACTTTTTACTCAAATGCTGTTGATAAATAAACTGGCATTTAGCCCTTTCATACAAGGGTTGGCTAAATGTCTATGTCAAGACAAGGTGGGAACTTCTTGTGGTTATTTCACCAAAGACTCAAATATTTACTTGGTACTCTTTACATTTTAATTAACAAAGACAAATGTCATGTTTTTTGGCAAAGGTGTGGATTAAAGAATTGCTTATCCAGTCAGGATCATGAAATTAGTGATTGTTTTTTTCTGACCAGTTGAAATACATACAGTATAGAGTTTATTCAGTCAGTGAGACTTAGGGTCATCAGTTTTCTAAAAGGCGGTCAACGTCATCACTCACTAACAGTGTTAAAGTGGCAATGATGTGGAAAAACACTAAAAGAAAGATTTTCTGTTAACCTATCAATTGAGCCCGAGAGACCCCGGTACCGGGGCCCTCCTGCAACATCTTGCAGGAAACAGTGTCTGAGGGCATGTTCTTAATAAACTATGAATGTTTTATATCCATGTAATGGGAAGAAACTCATCTAACTGATCAATTTAATTTTTTTTTCAAAAAAACCCCCACAATGCTAACGCTGAGCCTCTGAATTAGCAACGGGCGAAAAATGCTAACAGATGACTGCACCGAAATTCACTCACAAAACCTTATTATTTATCTTTGCTGCACATCTCAACCCATCGTTTCACATCGTGACGAGACACAGAATCGAACTCAATTATACGAATTCACGGAGATAATAACAAGAACAGACATCAAAACATATGGCGCTAGGTAGCTAAAAACGCTAACATGGCTCACCTGTGTCGTAGTCTGGTCAAAAGTGGTCTTCAATGGCATTAAAACAATAAAAACCTTTTTGTTTTACCATGTGTTTGAGGAGATTCCCCTTCAATTCTATTGGGTCTAACGGTCAGAAAGAGATGTCAATCACCAAAATCGACCAATGGGTTCCAGAGAAACGGTAAAACCCCCATTTCCACCCAAATCACCTCAGAGGTGGAGTTTTTTTTGCTAAACCTCTCTAAAAAGTTCAAATATCACTTGTTTTGTATCAATCTTGATACAGGGTACTTATTATATGTTGTACTTTGGATTTCTAAAGCTTTTAGTCTAGCTTACCATCATCCAAGGGTAGTTTTCACTATAAGTAAAAAAGATTGTTGGACGGACACTATAATTTACAGTTTTTTTACTATGTTCAATCTGAATTTTCTTTAAAATAAAAAACATCTATATTGATTCTGACTTTTCTACATCCAACTCACAGGTTTATCATTACTTTGAGAAAAAAGATTATTAATGTAACCCTTTTAGAAGGGAAGATATGGTCATTTGTCCTGGGAATGTCATTTTCGAGCCTGAAACCTGAAA